AAAGCTTCGTGACGCTTGTCCTCGCCGGGCTCGGACCAGAATGGAGAACCACACGCTCGCTTCTTCGCGCCCATGGAAGGATCTCGGAGATGCACCTCTGCGCCGAGCTTCACGCTGAACAACAGGAGATGGACCTGTTCGAAGAAAGACAACCAAGGAAGCAGCAGCAGTTAGTTTTCTACACTCAACGAAGGAACGACAACAACTACAATAGACGCGGCAAGCAAGATCAACGCGACAACAGAGGACTCACCTTCGTGCCGCCGTTCTGCCACAACTGTCAGACTTCCGGACATTCCAAAGTCAACTGCACACGTCCTTGTGTTTATCGTCCAGTAGACCCACACGTCGCCTCCACTCAAGAAAGCTCTCCAAGGCGCTCTTCCACATCTGCACAAGGGACACCGAACATCATTAACTGCATGGTACACATCGACAACTGCGCACCCGGATCACCACCCACCTACGCACCAGATGAAGAAGAACTTCCGCCGCCGCGCTCACAAGGACTTCAGGTCAACCCGACATACGCTGCGGTCGCCAACGCCGAACCCACCGGGCGAAATACCTGGTTCTTGGACAGCTGCTGCGGTCAACACATGTGTTCTTCCGGACGCTTCGTGCAACGAGAGCGACGCCTCAATCGCGACGTCATCATCACCGTCGCCAACAACGAGAACCTGAAAACAAACAGACAAGGCGTGGTTCAGTTACAATCCATGGAGACAAATGTTATACTTCAACTCAACAAGGTCCTCATCGTCGACAACTTGGGATACAATTTACTAAGCGTAAGCCAGCTAATGGCAAAAGGGATTCACCTGGAGTGCGACTCCTACTCCAACGAGTTTCGCCTTTACCACGGGAAGGGCGGTCTCTTCATCGGTCGTGCTCTCCTAAAGTCCGGCGTCTTCGTGTTGGACTTCGTCCCCGACCGCGGTACTGCCGACAGCGACGGAATCGTGTCGTTCGCCGCCTGGACACACCCCCCGGATCTTGACCCCAACTTCGACCCTGACGGATTCTGGCACTCCAACACCATACCTGCAGCAGAGAGAACACGAGCGTTAGCAGTCATCAGACAAGAAAGACAAGTACCAGCAAGCATCTCTTCCCAGACATCACCTACAGTAGCAGCAGCAGGACCCAACCAAGTACCATCATCAGCGATCCGCGGACCGCCAACCGAAGCAGATCAATATATGCCCATCACACGCGAAGTCTGCCGAAGTCCCGCCACGGTCGTCGCGTTCTTCTCCAACGCCGACATATACAACCGCTCGCCCGGCCATCGCGCTCCCGACGACATCTGGCACCAACGCGTCGGACATCCTGCAAACAGTACAATACTGCAAACCATCCAAGCCGAAGTGTTAGAACGAAACGCTCTCCTTACAACGAGCGGCCAAGAACTTCGACGACCACGCGCACGGTGCTTTACGTGCCCCGAAGCCGATCTTCCCCACCAGCCTTTCGCATCTCATCACAACCCAAGCGCACCTGCATACGCACCGATGGAAAAAGTCTACAGCGACATTTTAAACATGCCTCGAGAAGACGCTGAAGCAGACTTCAACTATGTCATCACGTTTATCGACGCATCAACAAGATACGTCTGGCACTACAACCTCAAGACACGCGATCAAGCCTTCGACGCCTTCACGACATGGCTCCCCATCGCCGAACGAGAATCCGGAACCAAGCTCAAGAGCTTCCAGTCAGACGGTGCACTGGAATACCAGTCACAACGCTTCAGGACCTATCTGGCGGAAAGAGGAATCAGACGCTTGGTGTCTCTGCCCTACGCTCACCAGCAGCAGGGGGTCGCAGAACGCATGAACCGGACCTTGCAGACGACGATGCGAAAGCTGCTCCTGGGGATGAGACTGCCCACCACACTGTGGCCAGACGCGATGACACATGCAGTCCACCTGCACAACCTGTTGTCCTCGTCATCGCTTCCCAACAACTCATCACCGCACCTGCTGTGGACACAAAAAAGGGGCAGCACAAAATTTCTTCGAGTTTTCGGCTGCATGGTACAGTACAGACCCCACACAGCCCGAGCAGGACGCTTCACTCAACGAGCTCGGTGGGGACTACACCTCGGCATCGCAAAACATTTTCACGCCTGGAAAATCCTCGACATCCAAGACAAATATACAGTGGCATCACGTGACGTTATCTTCTACGAGCGACTGACGCTGCAGCATTACCTGGACAACATTGCCAACACACACGACCCCACCGACGGCTTCGCGGGCCTTCGTTCCTTCGCCGACCGTGCTACCGAGGCTGACGCAGCAGAAGAAGACGTACCTGGAGCCTCGGAAGCTGCCGGACCACTCCCTTTCTGTTCCGTACCTGTTCCACTCGACGAAGACAACCCTCTCGATATAACAACCTCGACACCTTTTACCACTTCGCTGACCAAGGTTACATTACACCCCACCCGGTCGACACAAATGTTTCAGAACGCATCGGCCCCAACTTCTTACCTGACTCAGAAGACGGTGACGAAGCAGCCTATTCCGGGAATGAAAATTCCCCTCGACACACACCCACGGGACTGCATATCCTCGGCCTCTGGGTCTCCGTCCAGCATCCGCCGCCGCCATCTCCGCGCGAGCCCTCGACTTTGTCGCAGGCTCTGGGGGGGGAACATAAGGCGAAATGGAAAGAAGCAATGGAAAAGGAGCTAAAGGCTGTACAAGACCGAAATACATGGAAGCTGGTACCTACAACAAGCATCAACGGAAAAAATGACCTCTCGGGAAAATGGGTGTACCGCATCAAGACCAACGCGGACGGTTCCATCGAACGATTCAGAGCTCGATGGGTCGTACGAGGCTTTGATCAACGATACGGAACCGACTACACAGAAACTTTTGCCCCAGTCTCCCGTCACACCTCCCTACGCATCCTACTCGCCGTCGCGGCCACGAAGAAACTTCCACTGCGCCAAATCGACGTCGCAAATGCTTTCCTGTACGCACCTGTGGACGCCGAAATCTTTGTCGAGCAGCCCCACAGTTTCATCGATGACCCTTCAAAAGTATGCCAGCTGATAAAATCCCTCTACGGGATCAAACAAGCCCCGCGGCTGTGGCAGCAGCACCTTCACGGCCGCCTCGTCAGAATCGGCTTCCTACAACTGCCGCACGACCAAGGCATGTATCGACTACAGAAGGAAGGAGCCTTTATCCTTCTCATCGTCTACGTCGACGACCTACTCTACATCGGCTCCACTACCGACATCGCCACCTGGTTCGAAGGGGAGCTGAAAGAAGACTTGACACTCACGGTATCCGACGCAGTGACCCAGTACCTGGGACTGAATGTCGTCGAAGACAACTCGGCGTTCTACCTACACGCTGGAAAGTACGCAGGCACAGTCGCGAAGAAATTCGGTCTAACGCCGACTACGATCCCAACTCCCTACCGCTACGGGAACAACAACAGCACCTCCGCAAAACTCCCCGCGAAGCAAATCCAGGAGTATCAACAGAAGCTCGGCTGCCTACTATTCGCAGCAGTAACCTGCCGACCCGATCTCTCCTACAGCGCGAGCCAACTGGCGACACATCTGAAGGAGCCGGAACAAGAAGATCTCGAGGAGCTCAACCGGGCACTACTCTACTTCGTCTCCACGCCGACGACCGGACTTACTTACAGCAAAGTAACAACACCGTCCGTACGACTACTCGGATACGTCGACGCCGACCACGCGGGAGACAGGGAAAATCGACGATCGAGAACGGGCTACATCTACCGACTAGAACCTATCGGGACTATCTCCTGGCAGTCGAGCAAGCAGGAACTAATCGCACTATCTTCGGCTGAAGCAGAATATATCGCCCTCTGCACTGCGACCAAGGAAGGACTCTACCTACGAGTGTTGCTCGAGGAAGCGAAGATCGCGACCCTGCCCGTCTTCTCACTCCTCTACGACAACCAATCTGCGATCAAAATCGCGAACAAGGACGGCTTCGCCAACCGAACCAAACGCATTGCCCTGCGGTACTTTTTCGTCAAAGATGAAATCGCGAAGGGGAGACTTCAACTCAGTTACTGCCCTACAACAGAAATGGCCGCAGACTACCTGACGAAGAAACTGGCGAATGCGAAGTTCGATTATTGCATGATGCTGACCGGGCAGACAAACGTCATCGGATCTGAACACGTCAGCACTCCGGAAACGAAGGGGAGTGTTGGAAATATCTCAAAGGACTTAAGCGTTTCTGAAGTGTAACACTACACTTGAGGAAGATCACAACGGGTACGCGAGTCAACGGAGGTTACACGAGGGGGTGGACAAAGAACGCGAAGGGACTTGAAGGGTCGCAACTGGAGGTTGCGACTGACCGTTACAACAGCACGGATGGTAACCGAAGCGACAATCGAGTCGCTGTGCGACTCGATAACCGCTCCTGCAACTGTATTCTACAACTGCTTTACTTTCCTACTTTCCTATATATTGCTGTATGCTTGTCTCTTTAATCAATCACTTGTTCTCATATACTAGTACAAGGGTTCAAACTACCTCAACTTCCGCTGCACTACTCAAGTCTTTTACAACTGGGACTTAGTCTCTGGAAAGATCCCAAGGGCTTTTCTCAGCCCAACAATATGCATATGCAGTATGTTTGACACACCCCCTAGGCTAGACAAGGGGCAGTGCCTGGCAAGAGACACGCAGCTCAGGGTGGCACAGTGGCACTACTAGTCCAACCTCAGAGGCAAGGGTTCGAAGACCAGTCAGAAGAGTACAAACCAGGGCGGCACTACTACTCCAGCCACTGGAACAGAAGCCACAAGGCCAGTCAGGAGAATATATAAAAGAGTAGTACACAATAAAGGCCCTAGCAAGTGAGGAGCGACAGGAACTAGACCAAGTTGTACACAGTGTCGCTGATGATCTTTATGCGCAAGCACCTTAGTAAAGATATCAGATGTGTTGGCACTGGAAGCCAAGTGGTGCCGTACAAATGGCTAAAACCTCAATTTGCATTCACCAAATATGACATGTGAAAACCTGGAATTATTAATAAGATACACAAATAAAGCATTGCTTGCGAGAGAAATGGACTTCACCCACCATCAATTAATCTTTACCTCTAAAACTTGGCCTCCTTTACTAAGACTCGGGGCTACCTTTAGCTGGCAACCATGGTCGACTTGACCTCCTCCTTATCTTGTGTTGTGTGTCAGCATGCAGCGGAGGAGGCCAGGCCTCCCACGGGTGCCGCCAGGGGCTGGGAGGGGGGTGCGACCCCTGTGAACGCCGCAGGTGCTGCGGCAAGTGCTGACGGGGTTGCTTGAAGGGCTTCAGGCAAGAGTGGCATGGAGGACGCAGCAGCAGCAGCGGAGGGGGAGGGTGCGGCAGTGGGGTTGGCGAGCAGCAGTTTGATGTCGTCAGCTGTCATGGTCTCGCGCTCCAGCAGTGCTGCTGCCAGCGCGTGCAGCTCATGCTTGTGCTGCCAGCGCCGCACACGGGGACAGGTTAGACAGAGAGGGGAGGAGGGAGCAAAGAACACTCAGGCTGGTGAGATGGACTAACCCCTGCAGCATGTTGGGGCTCTAACTATCAGAACTCAGTCACTAACCACCGAGTTAAAAGGGCTTGTTAAGTAGCGGGTTAGTGCGCCATAACTCCCCAGGCTCTGCACCTGTAACCCTTCCCCGAGGAACAAGGGCAACCCCAGCGTGTATCTCGACAACCCCCCCTCGCTGGGGTAGGAGGAAGACACAAGCGCCTCTGCAGCGCTGCCACCTCTCCGGTGCACACTGGGAGTTGAACCCGGGTGGTCACCCAGCTCTGATACCATATCAGAACGCAGTCACTAACCACTGAGTTAAAAGGGCTTGTTAAGTAGCGGGTTAGTGCGCCCATAACCCCCCAGGCTCTGCACCTGTAACCCTTCCCCGAGGACCAAGGGCAACCCTAGCGTGTATCATGACACTAACCCCCCACCCCAACCCCCCCCCCCTAAGTAAACGAGGTGGCAGCGCACTGCGTACCTGTGTGAGCAGCCGTGTGACGCGCTCGTACGCCTCCTTGAGCAGCCGGCTGACCTCAGCGTCCGCCACCCGCAGCACGTCCGCGCTCACGCGCCCCTCCGCCCCGCCCTCGCTGTCAATGAACACGGGCCCCAGCTTGTCGCTCATGCCACACTCGCGCACCATCTGCCGCGCCACGCGGCTTGCCTGCCGCAGGTCGTCGCGCGCGCCGCTGGTCACGCGGTCGGCGCCGAACACGAGCTCCTCCGCCACGCGCCCGCCCATGCACACGTCCAGCCGCGCCAGCATCTGCGCCTTGGTGCGCGACGTCTCAAAGTCCTCGTCCGGCAGCTGCGTCACCATGCCCAGCGCCGCCCCGCGCGGCATGATGGTGGCCTTGTGGATGGGCAGCGCGTGGGGGGTGTGCAGCGCCACGATGGCGTGCCCGCTCTCATGGTACGCCGTGTTCTGATGCCCCGGGGGAGGGGGGGAATTGGGGGTGCAAGTTGATGCGGGTGGAGCAGACACAGCAAATGTGAGACGATTGCAACCCTCACACTTGCAGCCAGCTCACCTTGCAGCCAGCTCACGAACACCAATCTCCCACATCACAGCCCTCCCCCTTGGCAGCACTCACCTTGCGGCATTCATGCGAGAGAGCGAGGGACTTGCGCTCGGCGCCCATGAGGATCTTGTCCTTGGCGAACTCCAGCTGCTCCCTGCCCACCTCCGCCACGCCGTCCAGCGCCGCCTTCACCGCCGCCATGTTCACCAGATTCGCCAGGTCTTTGCATGCACCACGCAGGCGGGGGGGGAGAGCGGGCAGGTGGGGCAGGAAAGAGGCGAAAGGGGAAAGGGATTGAACTTGTGACGAGAAGTCTCTGTTTTCTTTGCTCCCTATGCAGCTGCCCCTCCATCCACACTCCACCATACCTCATCTCACACCTGCTTCCTGCCCGGCCCAGCAGCAACTATGCCCCAAGCCCCCCCCCCCGGCTGTGAGCCGCACCTGCCCCGCTGAAGCCGGGCGTGCCGCGGGCGATGGTGGCAACGTCCACATCGGCGTGCAGTGGCTTGTCCTGCAGATACAGCTCCAGGATCTCCCTCCGCCCCCGCACGTCCGGCGCTGACACCACCACCTGGGGGGGGGCGGGGGACACATGTTCACACACCACACACACCAGGGAAAAGGGTGGAGTGTGAAAGGGTGCACCAGAGTGTTCCCAAACCCCTTGGTCTCTTGCACCACACTCCCCCCCCATGCATTCACCACACTCCCCCCCCATGCATGCACCACACTCCCCCCCCATGCATGCACCACACTCCCCCCCCCATGCATGCACCACACTCCCCCCCCATGCATGCACCACACTCCCCCCCCATGCATGCACCACACTCCCCCCCCATGCATGCACCACACTCCCCCCCCATGCATGCACCATACTCCCCCCCCATGCATGCACCACACTCCCCCCCCATGCATGCACCACACTCCCCCCCCATGCATGCACCACACTCCCCCCCCATGCATGCACCACACCCCCCCCATGCATGCACCACACTCCCCCCCCATGCACTCACCACGCTCTCTCCCCATGTCTCCCTCCCCGTCCCCCATACCCCATGCAAGCCCCCTCACGTGTCGGTCAAAGCGGCCGGGGCGGGTGAGGGCGGGGTCCAGCATCTCAGGCACGTTGGTGGCAGCGATCACTATGATGCCCTGCCGATCACAGGAAAGGCACGGGGGGGCATGGGGGGCATGGGACGCATGGGGCGCATGGGGCGCATGGGGCGCATGGGGGGCATGGGGCGCATGGGGGGCATGGGGCGCATGGGGGGCATGGGGCGCATGGGGGGCATGGGGCGCATGGGGGGCATGGGGCGCATGGGGGGCATGGGCCGCATGGGGGGCATGGGGCGCATGGAGGGCATGGGGCGAAGGAGGTGAGGTTGGAGATGGCGGCAGTGGAGAGTGGGCGAGAAAGAGGGGAGGGGACTGAGCACGGATATTCTCCATGGAGCCACGGAGATGGAGGCCATGGTGCTGCAGGCAGGGCAGGGCGTCACCTCGTTGGGCTCGAAGCCGTCCATCTCCACGAGCAGCTGGTTGAGCGTCTTCTTGGTGTGCCCCTCCCACTGCTTGCGGCTGCCGCCCACCGCGTCGATCTCGTCGATGAACACAATGCACGGCGCCTGCATGGGCCACGGGGCACAATGCACATGCGATAGGATGTGAGAGTGCGGGTGGGCGGGCAAGCACTCACCATAAACGAGAAGGCTAAAACCCACGGCGGTGCTTCAAGCATCCCCGAGGGAAATGATCCCGGTAACCTGCCCAAGGACAAAACGTGCAGAGCGACAGCCAGTTCATACTCACCTTGCCGACCCAGTAGCATTCTTCTTGCCACCCACAATGCTACCTTGGCATTGCCGCCCCACTGACCTTCTTCTTGGCCGCCTGGAACAATGTGCGCACGCGCCGTGCCCCCACTCCCACAAACCTGGCAGGGCATGGAGGCCGTGGGAGGGACAGCATGGAGGCAGTGGCAGGGCATGGAGGCAGTGGCAGGGCATGGAGGCAGTGGCAGGGCATGGAGGCAGTGGCAGGGCATGGAGGCAGTGGCAGGGCATGGAGGCAGTGGCAGGGCATGGAGGCAGTGGCAGGGCATGGAGGCAGTGGCAGGGCATGGAGGCAGTGGCAGGGCATGGAGGCAGTGGCAGGGCATGGAGGCAGTGGCAGGGACGGCATGAACGAGGGGCAGTGGGAGTGGCAGGGACGGCATGAACGAGGGGCAGTGGCAGTGGCAGGGACGGCATGATCATTCGGCAAACTCAACCGAGGGGCAATAGCTGGGTGCACACATGACATGGCACATTTGATTGAGCATGCGTGGCATGGTCGATACATGTAAGCTCAATTGAACAAAAGGGGCCCCAACCCCTGTGCCCCACTGTGTCCCCCTGTTGCCCCTGTTGCCCCTGTTGCCCCTGTTGCCCCTGTTGCCCCTGTTGCCCCTGTGCCCCTGTGCCCCCTGTGCCCCCTGTGCCCCCTGTGCCCCCTGTTGCCCCTGTTGCCCCTGTGCCCCCTGTGCCCCCTGTGCCCCCTGTGCCCCCTGTGCCCCCTGTGCCCCCTGTGCCCCCCCGCCCCCTTCTGTGCCCCCCTGTGTCCCACAGTGCCCCCATGGGCGCACATCTCTTCAAACTCGGAGCCGGCGCGGTAGAAGAAGGGCACGCCCGCCTCGCCCGCTATGGCCTGCCACGCGCCACCATCAACAGAGAGGGGGGGGGAGGAGGAGGAGGAGAGTTGGGACGAGTGAGGGCAGAGGAGGGGCGAGAGAATACAGTAACGCTTGAAGAAACGAATGAAGGGAGCGAGGAGAGGGCGAGAGGCAAGAGAGAGGAGCGAGGAGTGGGCGAGAGGCAAGAGAGAGGAGCGAGGAGTGGGCGAGAGGCAAGAGAGAGGAGCGAGGAGACGGCATCACCTTGGCAAGCAGTGTCTTCCCCGTGCCGGGAGGGCCGATCAGAAGCACTCCCTGCAGCAACGAGGGAGGAGGGAGACAGAGGGACAGAGGGACAGAGGGACAGAGGGACAGACAGACAGACAGACAGACAGACAGACAGACAGACAGACAGACAGACAGACAGACAGACAGACAGACAGACAGACAGACAGACAGACAGACAGACAGACAGACAGACAGACAGACAGACAGACAGACAGACAGACAGACACAGACAGACAGAGACCGTGACCCAACCGCCATGCGCAGAGGCCAGGTGCGGTTCACGTGAGGCCGTGGCACAGCGGGTCACACCTGCATAAACACAACCCAAACCTAGGAGGTCCAATCCCCAAACAAAGCTGGCCCTCCCACAACCCCACGCACAACAAGCTCAAGAGCTCAAAGCCTCTCACTATTTTCCCCCCCCTGTGGCGGCCACCTTGGGCAGCTTGCCTCCCACCTTGGGCAGCTTGCCTCCCACCTTGGGCAGCTTGCCCCCACCTTGGGCAGCTTGCCCCCACCTTGGGCAGCTTGCCCCCACCTTGGGCAGCTAGCCCCCACCTTGGGCAACTTGCCCCCACCTTGGGCAACTTGCCCCCACCTTGGGCAGCTTGCCCCCCACCTTGGGCAGCTTGCCCCCCACCTTGGGCAGCTTGCCCCCCACCTTGGGCAGCTTGCCCCCCACCTTGGGCAGCTTGCCCCCCACCTTGGGCAGCTTGCCCCCCAGGCGTGTGAAGCGCGTGGGGTCCCTCAGGTACTCCACGATCTCCTCCAGCTCCGCCTTGGCCTCGTCGCACCCCCGCACGTCCTTGAACGTGCGCACGCTCTGGGGGGAGAGGGGGGGGAGAAGAGCAACACGGGAAAGGGCAGTGGGAAGGAGGATTCCAAGCAAGCAACAAATACATCTCTTCCACAGAATCGGCAATTTACTATTCCCCTGGAGCTCGGGCCCCTGTGTTAAAGCCACACTCGCTAGTCTCACTTTCTCTGCCATGCCCCCCCTCCTCCCCACTCTGCCCCCCCACTGTCCCCCCCCTCCCACCCCCTCTCCGCCCTCCCCCCGCATTTCCAGCCCTGCCCCCCCCTCTCCTCCCGGCCCTCCACCTCTCCGTCCTGCCTGCCCTCCCCCTCTCCCCCCCCGTACCTTCTCGGGCATGGTGTCCTTGTTGTACTCCTTGGGTGAGTACACCCCCGCGCCGCCGCTCCCCATGCCCACTCCTGGCCCCCCTGCTGCCCCCGCCCCCCCCATACCAGCAATGCCACTGGCGTAGCGCCTCAGGGCTGTGGTGGCCGCCACCCTGGGGGGGGGGGGGGCGCACACAGGTGCATGAGTGATGGGGAAAAGCAGAGCGATGGACAAAAGCAAGGAGCAGGGAGCAGGGAGCAGGGAGCAGGGAGAGGGGAGCGGGGAGCGGGGAGCGGGGAGCGGGGAGCGGGGAGCGGGGAGCGGGGAGCGGGGAGGGGGGAGCGGGGAGCGGGGAGCGGGGAGCGGGGAGCGGGGAGCAGGGAGCAGGGAGCAGGGAGCAGGGAGCAGGGAGCAGGGAGCAGGGAGCAGGGAGCAGGCAGCAGGGAGCAGGGAGCAGGGAGCAGGGAGCAGGGAGCAGGCAGCAGGGAGCAGGGAGCAGGCAGCAGGGAGCAGGAGGTGGTTCATGTGGCGGCGGACCAGATGAGGAGGCCGAGGAAGCAGGCGAGAAGCGCCGAGAGCAGCTCCTGCAGAAAGCGCAGCCCACGCGCCAGGGGCTTGGGGCGGCTCTCCACCTGCCAACCAGGAGGGGTGGCGGGCACGCAGCACGCAGCAGGCAGCATGGGGCGGGGAGGAGGAGGATGGGCGCGCAACAGGGGGAGGGGAGAAGGAACACCCGGGAGGGAGAGATGGGTGCAGCAAGGTGCCGGCTGGGTGCCGACTGTTTGGTGCTCACGCAGAGGTAGCATGGAACCAGAAAGTGCAGAATACAGCAGGGCCCGAGAAACAGATTAGAAGAGATGCATGAGATGGTGCACACATGATGCGAACAACACACATACATGCGCACGCATACACAGAAACAAGAGACCATGACACTCCACACGCCATCGCACTATGCACCCACATTCACACCATGCCCCCAGCACCCCCCCCCTCCCCCCCCCTCCCCCACCATGACGACGTGCAGCGGCGTCTGCTCCGTGGTGCCAGGTGGCAGCCCCGCCTGGCCCTCGCCTGGCGTCGCCCGCTGCTTCAGATCCTCCAGCTGATGACGTCAGCACGGGGTGGGTGAGAGGGGAGAGGTTGTGACAGGTAAGAGGCAATAATGGGTGGAATATTCACGGGCGGAGGCACGAGCAGCGGGAGGGCGGCATACGAGCATGGGGAGGGCGGCATACGAGCATGGGGAGGGCGGCATACGAGCATGGGGAGGGCGGCATACGAGCATGGGGAGGGCGGCATACGAGCATGGGGAGGGCGGCATACGAGCATGGGCAGGGCGGCATACGAGCATGGGGAGGGCGGCATACGAGCATGGGCAGGGCGGCATACGAGCATGGGCAGGGCGGCATACGAGCATGGGGAGGGCGGCATACGAGCATGGGCAGGGCGGCATACGAGCATGGGCAGGGAGGCGGGGCGGCCGGTGTCCTCATCGGACAGGAAGGCGGAGAGGCGGTCGGCGGCCACCAGCGCCCTCAGGTACAGCGCCACCCCCGCTGCATCTGACGCGTGCTGCCGCGCCTCAAAGCGCTCCACCACGGCCGCAGGGCTGACGGGGGGATCAGAGGGGGCGAAAGAGGGGGGGAAGGGATGAGGAAGTGGGGGAGAAGGGGAGGAGGCGTGGGAGGGGAGGGGAGGTGATGCAGATGATGGGTCAGAGGGATGGCTAGGTGCAGCGAATAGGGATGGCCAGGTGCAGCGAATAGGGATGGCCAGGTGCAGAGAATAGGGATGGCCAGGTGCAGCGAATAGGGATGGCCAGGTGCAGCGAATAGGGATGGCCAGGTGCAGCGAATAGGGATGGCCAGGTGCAGCGAATAGGGATGGCCAGGTGCAGCGAATAGGGATGGCCAGGTGCAGCGCATAGGGATGGCCAGGTGCAGCGAATAGGGATGGGAATAAATGGAATGATGTGGATGGCACGATGGTGTGGATGGCATGGTGTGGATGGCACGATGTGGATGGCATGATGTGGATGGCACGATGTGGATGGCACGATGTGGATGGCACGATGTGGATGGCACGATGTGGATGGCACGATGTGGATGGCACGATGTGGATGGCATGAGGGGAGGGGAAGCAGAGGAGGAAGTGGCAGCAGGGGGAGGGAGCAGCAGGGGGAGGGAGCAGCAGGGGGAGGGAGCAGCAGGGGGAGGGAGAAGCAGGGGGAGGGAGCAGCAGGGGGAGAGAGCAGCAGGGGGGCGTCGCCGCTGCTCACTCTGTTTGGATGAGCGCGCTCAGGTACTCCGCCTGCCGGCCCGCGTCCGCGGGGTTGCTGTCCGCCGCCTCCTTCAGCTGCCGCAGCCGCCGCCGCTGCTGCCACACCGGCCACGCCGCCACCATGCGCGCCACGCGGCTCTGCGCCACGGCGGACACGGCGCCCGCCACTAGGTTCAACGGAAACCACAACCCGCGACCCACCTCCCCCTCCTCCTCCGCCTCCCCTTCCTCTCCCGCCTCCCCCTCCTCTCCCGCCTCCCCCTCCGCTGCTGCCTCCCCCCCCCCTCGTGCGCCATCGTCCGCGCGCGCTGCTCCCACGGCCTCGGCTGCAGGCGCAGCGGCGAGGGAAGCGGGAGGCGTCGACGCCACGGCAGCGCCGTCCGCAGCCGAACGAGCGGCAGCGCTTGCAGCACCCCAGCTGCTGCTGCTGCTGCTGCTGCCGCCGCCTGACGACCCTTGGGAATGCCGATCCGCGCTATCCGGCGCGGAGACCGGCTCACCCGCGGCCGCCTGCTCGCGTGAGGGCGCCGCTCCTTGCTCTGATACGTCGTCGGGGCCGCGCGGCGTGGACGCGTGACAGCGCACCGGCTGCGATGTGCGTTGAGACGCGGGATGAGGTCGCTCCGGCCACACACGCGGGGCTGCCGCAACTCGAAATCGAAACCTGCCGTCGCTGCAACCCGCTGATCGCGACGCTTGCACACGGCGTGGGTGGGGCAGGCCTAGTGAAATAGATAGCGACTGGCGCGACGACCTGCGACGGATGGCGGCAGAGGGGCGGCGACTGGACGACCAGCGCGGCTGGCACGCGGGTGGACGGGAGGAGCCGCATCTCGCGGCAGCGTCGCTCCAGCGATCGAACTGTGCGGCTCTTCCTGCGGCTTCGACAGCCAACCCGGCACAAATCGCTGCTGATTGTAGCGACGCCATGGCAGCAATTCAGCGCACGAGAGCAGTGCACTCGAGGTTAGTCAGCGCGCGCGGCGTGAAGGAGAGAGCGGCATGGGCGGGCGGAGCTAGGACGAGTGACGGCCGATCTGGGAGCGACAGATTGATGGAGAGAGATGGTGGTTTATGGCGGCCTTGGCGAGGTTGCTTCTGCTGACAACCGTGGCTCGGCAGGCTCGAAAACGATGACCTGGGTCTGACGGTGTTGGAATCAGGACATGTTCGCACGTGCTTGTGCTTGCTCTAACTGGTCATGTTATGAATGAACAAGCAGAGTAGCGCGGAAATGAATAACGAAGTGTTCAATCACTCAATGACGATACAAGGAAGGGAGATTATACACAGGGTAACTCTTACTTTTCGTTTCCCCAATTCAGTCACTCTTTTCTCATATCAGTCAATGTTTTATCTAGTCTAAATCAGCAGCGTCAGACTTTTCGTTCTGTTTGATGCCGCATGGCAAAATATTTCGACACGTGTTAAAAAATGACGAAATCCCAGAGAAAATGGAGAATATTTGTAGTGACAAACAAATAGAAACTCTATCTGAAATCAGCATTCGATTTCACTCACATTCAAATTTCGCAGTAGATTATATTCGTGTAAGACTGACTAGCCAAGTGTTGTATTCTTGTGACTGGAAACATTGAGCAGACGAAGCGCACACAAATTGCGCAACTGAACGTGTGCGAATTTACAGGTTATTTTGGTTGCACAAATCTATCAAGCCATTCTTTAAGGTGTAAACTAGACTTATGTCACTTTTTATGACGTTTTGTTTTTCGGGATGCCCACAAAACTCAAACCCATCCGAGCCCGCATGCGACTCGCGGTGTCATCAATCCTAAACTCGTGGTTTTGAGCGTCTTTAGGGTTGATGCCACCCCAAGTCGAATATCAGGACGCTGCGGGTTTTATTTTTTTTTCAGACTGCCCTAATTGACATGTCAGTATATATACGGCTGCTGCGGGTTATATTTTGTTTCAGGCTGCCTTAATCGACATGTTTGTATCTCAATAACGCGTCGCGAGCTGTGCGCGAATGCAAACCGGGACAGAATCCTCAAATAACTATGAAGTTTTCTCTTCAACGTTTGGATGTTATGTGTTTATCTCTCGAGTTTTTGAGACATCGCATTTCTGGGACACGTGTCGAAATATTTTGCCATGCGGCATCGAACTGAACAAAAAGTTTGACGCTGCTGATTTCGACTCGATTAAACATTGACTGAGATGAGAAAAGAGTACCTAAATCGGGGAAATGAAGAGTAAGAGTTACCCAGCGTAAAATTTCCCTACAAGGAATGGCAAGCCAAGATATAGGAACACCAGAGCTAGTCTAACCATGAGATGGGAAGGTTCGGGAAAGAGATCGAAGGGTCTCGAAGTGACGAAGCGAGGCCCGGAGAACTCCCGAATGTCGAACTAGAAGGTCTGGAGAAGCCGAGGCGGTTCTGGCAGAAAGGTCCGGAACTGTCCCGAGGCTTCGGGTGTGTTCGAGCGTACGCGATAGCAGTACCGCACGGTAAGGAATGGAAAATTCCTTACACCACCCCCCTCCTTAGCGAAAGTGATCTATATCAGCCACGTGCTTGCGGGCCAAATAATTCGCAAGTATCGAAGGTGACTGTATCTGGTCTGAGGGCACCCACGTGTCGTCCTCACTGTTACGATTGGTCCATCGTATCATAAAATCAACGTGTCGTCCTTGGCCGTCGATACGAATCCTATGGCTCAAAATCTTTGAAGGCTCGATGGTCGTCTCTGCTGGTGGCCGTACATCTAGGACCAATCGCTGTCGGGCGATGTCCGTGTCAACTTATACATATATTGTTATGTATAAGTTATAGGCTAGATAGGGTATGTTCTTAGTGGGTACAATCCAAAACGCTATATCTCCCCTGTACTCCCTTCTTCTAATCATACTTTCTAGTCTTAACATAGTATCACGAATAGGTAGGTCCACCCACCCGCTTCCGCCCCGTGCCGCCACCCACCGGACCCTCGCGCCCCTAGCTGGCCCCGCGCGCCCCTACGGCCCCGTCGCGCCCCTGATCAGCCCCGTCGCGCCCCTAGACGGCCTCGTGCGCCCCTACAGCCCCTCGCGCCCCTAGCCGGCCCTGTCGCGCCCCTAATCGGCCCCGTCGCGCCCCTTCGGCCCCGTCGCACCCCTACGGCCCTGTCGCGCCCCTACGGCTCTGTCGCGCCCCTAGCCGGCCCCGTCTCACCCCTAGCCGGCCCCGTCGCGCCCCTACCAGCCTCTCGCGCCCCTACCGCCCCGTCGCGCCCCTACCGGCCCCTCCCGCCCCTAGCAGGCCCCTCGCGCCCCTACGGCCCTGCGTGCTCCTACCGGCCCCCCCGGCTCCTCGCGTTCCTAGCCGGCCCCACGCGCCCTTGCCGGCCCCGCTCGCCCTAGCCGGCCCCTTGTACCCTAGCCGGCCCCTTGCGCCCGAGCCGGCCTCGTTGCCTGCGCCGCCGAGCCGCCGAGCTGCCTAGCCACCGTGCCGCCGAGCCGCCGAGCCGCCGTGCCACCGAGCCGTTGCGCCGCTGAGCTGCTGTGCCGCTGTCACACTGTGCGATGGCGGACGCCGTTCTTCGCTTGGACGCTGAGGGGCACGCGATCGACTTCGCCGTCTGGCTCGTCGACCTCCGTCGGCACTTGACAGGTCAGCGCCTGGATGGGCACTCCCTGGCTATGCATGTTGATGGCTTGCTCCCCCGCCCCCCTGCGCCTGATCCCCTCCCTGCTGACCCTACCATTGCTGAGAGCGAGGCCTTTGCTACTGCTGCGCTCACTCGCGCTATCTGGAATTCTCGCGATGCGATAGTGCAGCTTGCCATTAGCCATGCCCTCCCCCTGTTTGAGCGTCCGCGCTTTACCGATGTCGCGAACGCCAAGGACTTTCTCGTTGCAGTAGTTGAGCGTTACTCTACACCTGCTTCCGCCTCTGCTGGCCGCTTGATCCTACCCATGCTCTTCACAGCAGCCGTCACAGCAGCAGCCGTGGGCTCGTCTCCCGCCCGGGTGGCCAAGAGTCCCTGGCGGCGGTGGTCGTGGTGGTGGCCCTCGCAGCTCGGCGTCCACCGCCAGCTTCGGTGCTGTGAGCTGCCAGTACCAACTTCAGACCGGGCCCCTACGTGGCACAGTGTGCCGCCACTCGCACTTGACCGCCCGCTGCTTCCGCCGCCTCGACGACCTCTTCCGTCGCCGCTTTGGTCCCGCCTCGGACCTTCCTGACTGGCCCAGCCTGCTGCGCCACGGTGTGCCTGTGTTTGACTTAGACATGGATCAGATTATTTCTGCCTTGCATTCTCTGTATGCTGACGCTTCGAGTGTTTCTGGATCGTATTACTCTATGTTCTCTAGCTTAGGCATAGCACCTGTGTGTAGTCCAGAATCCCCTGCTGCGTCAGGCGTAGGACAGCTTGCTTCGTCTAGTCTAGGCTCTACCCTTGCTCCTCCGGTGTCTGCCACTCCGGCGTCGCTGTCCTTCACTCTAGACTCTAGTGTGTCCGCCTGTTTCTTCCGCGACCACGCCGCCCTCACGCCGCTTGCTGCACCTGCCGCTGTCGCCCTTGCGGACCCCTTTTCTGGTCCTGTAGTTGCTCGTAGCTATACTACCCTTCCCTGTCCGGCGGTTCTCTTGGGTTCCCTTACAGGCCTGCACATCCCTTCGTTCTCCAGGAACTTAGTTGGTGTCGGCTGTCTCTAGGACCTCGGCGTCACCACTACGTTCCCTGGTCACGAGCGGTACATGGTCTGTACCGAGGCCGCCTCAGGTGCCCCCCTTGCGACGTCCCCCCGGGACCCTGTGTCTGGCCTGTTTATGCTGGACACTGCTCCCCCTGCGGCGGGTCAGTCCTCCTCCGGTCCTGCGTCCACCCAGTTAGCTGCGGCCTTCTCGTGTCGGTCGCTCACTCACCCGTCACTGATGTGGCACCACCGCCTAGGTCACCCCGCGCTCCCTCGCCTGCGTCACATGTCTCAGCACGGTCTAGTCCTCGGCCTCCCTGCGTCGCTCCCTGCTCTCCCTCCCTCGCCTGCGCCGCCGTGCATGCCCTGCGTCGAGGGCCGGCTGCGCCGTGCTCCTCACTCCTCCTCACTTCGCCCTGCCACTGCACCCCTTCAGACCCTGCACTTGGACGTCTGGGGCCCAGCCCCTGTCCCTGGACCGCGTCGCGAGCGCTACTTTCTTGTGCTCGTTGATGACTTCACGCGCTACACTACTGTCTTTCCCTTGGAGCGGAAGGCCGATGTGCCCGACGTTCTTATCCCGTGGCTCGTCGCTGCGCGCCTCCACCGCAGTCTCCCTGTGCTGTGTCTCCACTCCAACCGTGGCGGCGAGTTCGCCTCTGGTCGGCTGGGTCAGTTCCGTCGTGCGGAGGGTATCACCCAGACGTACACCCTATCGGACTCCGCGCAGCAGAATGGGGTCGCTGAGCGACGCATTGGTTTGGTCATGGAGGTGGCTCGTACCTCCATGATCCATGCCGGTGCACCCCATTTTCTATGGCCGTCCGCCGTTCGCTGCGTCGCTCACCAGCTTAACCTCTGGCCTCGCTCTCAGCGGCCGCAGGTTTTGCCGACCCTTCTTTGGACCGGGTTCCCTGATGACGCATCTGCGTTCCACGTCTGGGGCTGCCTCGCTCACGTTCGTGCCTCCGGCACGGACAAGCTCACTGCCCGCACCGTCCCTTGTGTCTTCCTCGGTTTCCCCCTTGACTCGTCTGACAGGCACTTCTACCACCCGCCGTCTCACCGCTTCCTTCACTCCCGTGACGCCACTTTCAACGAGCCTGCCCCATTTTTCCACCGCTTTCCTCACCGAGGTCTCCCGGTTCCCCCCCCCCGTTTCTGGTTCCCACTCCTCCGGTCGCCCCTGCTCCCCTCCCTCCCCATCCTGCTCCGTCTAGCGTCTTTCACGTCACTCCCCTCCCGTCGGTTGTCCCGGTCGAGGAGTTGGCTGACTCCGGTGGCCCCGCGGCACAGTTTGCGCCCCCTGTCCCTCCCTCGGTGTCTCCTCCTCCCTCGTCGCAGTCGTCGCCGCAGCCGCCGCTGTCACCGCCGCTGCAGCCGCAGCCGTCGCTGCAGCCGCAGCCGTTCGTGGACTCTGGGGGTGCTGGAGTTGGAGAGGGTGCTAGTCCTGGGGCTCCTGTCGTGCCTTGTCCCGGCGGACTCGGGGGTGGCACCGACGCGGGAGACATTTCTTGTTCTGGGGGTGCTGGCGTGGAGTGTACCGGAGGTAGCAGTGGTGCAGCTGGTGGTCCAGGTGTTGGCGTTGAGCAGCAGCAGCAGCAGTCGCTGCCGGTGTCCACCCTTCGCCTGCTCGGCCTTCCCTCCCCTGACCGCTCGCCTGCGCCTCCCTCGCCGTCTCCCCCTCTTCATGTTCACGGTCCTGTGTTTCCTCCACTGGACTCGTCCCCGGCCGGTTTCCCCTCTTGTTCCCCTCCTGTTACTCCTCCACTGTCTCCTGACCCGACGTGCCCGTCTCATGTATGGTCTCGCCGTCCCTCTCGTGCTCGTCCTGTCACTCCTATTCCGCGTTCTCACCCTATGTTGCTTCGTTCCCATGCGTCTCGTCCTTCCCTCCTGCCTTTGCCTCCTCCGCCGTCGCTCACTGTCGCGCCTCCCCCTCTGTCTGACTACCTTCGTGCGGCTCGTCGTCTTGTTCCCCGGGTCCTTGCCTCCCTTGTTACCGACCCGTCTGTTCCTGTCTCCAGTCTGGACGCTCTTGTCGCTGCTGTCGCTGACTTTGCCTCTACTCACCGCCTTGACTTTGCTATCGCTCTGGTCTCTGACCCTGTCTGTCCTCTGTCCGTCGGAGGTGCTCCTTCCCTCGGTAGTGACGTCTTGGAGGACCGGCAGTACGAGCTTGCTTTCCTATCAGAGGCTGCTCCCCATCTGTGTTCCATGCTGCTAGTCCTTGAGGGTGACCCCGACGCCTTTGACATCTCGACCCCTCGCACCTACGCTGAGGTCACCTCGGGACCCTGGGCCTCTTAGTGGATAGCTGCCATGGAGCAGGAGATGGCATCTTGGAGGGCTATCGGCACCTACATCGATGCAATTCCCCCACCTGGGGTGAACGTAGTCGATGGCCGCTAGCTCATCAAGGTGAAGCGCCCCCCTAGAGAGCCGCCTCTATTCAAGGCGCGCTACGTGGCTAGAGGCTTCAGTCAGCGAGAGGGGGTGGACTTCTTTCAGACCTTCGCCTCGACCTGGAAGATGACTACTCTTCAGGCGCTGCTACACGTAGCAGCACAGCGTAACTACGAGCTCCACTCCCTCGACATTTCCACTGCTTTCCTTCAGGGTAGCTTGCATGAGCAGGTCTATCTGTGCCGTCTTCAGTGCTTCTCCGGTACCTTCCCTCCTGGGACCCAGTGGCTCCTCCGGCGCTCGGTCTACGGCCTGCGACATGCGCCCCGTGAATGGCACGACATGGTGCGTGCTACGTTAGCTGACCTGCAGTTCTTTTCGTCCTCTGCTGACCCTTTGCTCTCTGTTCGTGCTGGCCAGACTCCGTTCTACATCCTTGTCTACGTAGACGACCTGGTCTTTGCTACAGCAGACAGAGACGCGCTGGCCTCCGTGAAGGCTGAGCTGCTGAGGAGACACACTTGCACTGACCTGGGAGAGCTGCACCGCTACCTTGGCCTGCAGATCTCCAGGGACAGAGCAACACGCACCATCACTCTTACACAGTCACACTTGGTGCGCCAGGACCTTCAGAGGTTCGGTCTTCAGTTCTCCTCCGCACAGCCCACACCTGTGCCGGTAGACCACAGGCTCTCAGCTCCAGTTCCCGAGGAGTCAGCAGAGCACAGTGGTCCTTATGCAGAGCTGGTGGGTTGCCTCATGTACCTGATGACTTGCACTTATCCAGATCTCGTATACCCTCTCAGCATCTTGGCCCGCTTTGTGGCAACAGGCAGACACCGACCATAGCACTGGTCGGCCGCTAAAAGGGTTTTGCATTATCTAGCAAGTACATCGGGCATGGGGCTAGTGCTGGGAGGACGCAGGCCAGTGGTCCTTACTGGGCATACAGACCCTTATTGGGCAGACGACGCTGAGACCCTCCGATCCTCCCAGGGCTACTTCTTCAGCCTTGGTTCTGGTGCCATCTCGTGGAGGTCCACTTGCTCCTCGTCTATTGCTCAATCTAGCTGCGAGGCTGAGATCTACGCCAGTGCCATGGCGGCACAGGAGCTCCGCTGGCGGACCTTCTTGCTTGCCGACTTAGGTAAGCGACCTAGCTCTACCCCGGTTCTTCTACGCTGACAACAGGGCCATGATCCTCCTGTGTCAGGAACCTCAACTTGAGGGTAGAGCGAAGCATATCCAGCTGCGGTACTTCCTCCTGCGTGAGCTTCAGCAGCGTCGCCAGGCACGCATAGTACACTTGGCCTCTGGTGCCAGCACAGCTGATATCTTTACTAAGGCGCTTCTGCCTAGAGATCATCAGCGGCACTGCTTGCAGTTATGTCTAGTCCCTGTTGACTCTCACTTGCTGGGCCCTTGATTATGTACTCCTTTCTATTTATGCCTTCCAGACTGCCCTTGTGGCTTTTCCTCCAGTGGTTGGACTAGTAGTGCCGCCCTGGTTTGCTCTGTCTTGCTTGTACTCTTGCTGACTGGTCTTCGGGCCCCTGCCTCAGAGGTTGGACTAGTAGTGCCACCCTGAGCTGTGTGTTTCTTGCTCAGCACTACCCCTTATCTAGCCTAGGGGGTGTGTCAACTTATACATATATTGTTATGTAGAAGTTATAGGCTAGATAGGGTATGTTCTTAGTGGGTACAACCCAAAACGCTATACGTTCTCCCTTCTTCTTAACATAATGTACTTTCTAGTCTTAGCAGTCCGATGTGTCAGGTACGAAGGGTCGCAACAGGCTCACGTGGAACTTGTTGTGAATACGCCAATCGCCAGGTAGGCGTAACTGGGCGGTCATCGGCATCACCATCTTCATGATCTTGAATGGGCCACAGAAACGTGGTCGTAAGTTTGTCGGTAGTGGCAGCCGTAAATTCTTGGTGTCCAAAAGGACTAGTTTCCCTGCTGCAATTGTAATATCCCGTCGATGTAAATTCGCATACCGTCGGGCAGTAGCGTTCGCCTTGCGAATAAGTTCGACAGCCTTGTCTCGAGCAGTCTGTAATTCTTCGACGAAATGCTGCGACCGTGGTACTTGACTCTCGACATTGGTGGAGATAGGTACTGTGGGGTCCATCCCGTAATTGAGGTAAAATGGGGAGTGATTAGTCGTGGCTGAGGGCGCGTTGTTGTAGGAGAATTCCAACATGGGAAGCGCGTCCTCCCATTTGTTTCGGTCGAGGTAGTTTGTCCGAATCAGCTGCTCCATCATTTGGTTTGTCCTTTCTGTCTGGCCGTCCGTTTGGGGATGATAAGCGGATGAGAACTGCATGCGCGTGCCGTACCGAGCCCACGTGTCCTGCCAAAAATTTGACGTGAACTTCGGGTCTCGATCGCTAATGATTGCTGCTGATATCCCGTGTAGGCAAACAACGGTCGAGATGAGCAGGCGCGCGGTTTCTTCGGCAGTGATGGTTGTACGACATGGTGCAAAATGCACCATTTTCGTCAATCGGTCGACGACAAGCAATACTGCGTCGTTTCCACTGGATCCGGCCGGTAGACCGAAATCCATCGTCACGTGCTGCCATGGGCATTGAGGTGGCTCAAGGGGCTGCAACAGTCCTGTCGGTTGCTGATGTGATGATTTCATTCGCTGGCAGATCGGACACACGGCCATGTAACGCTGCACGTCCGTCACCATATATGGCCAGTAATAAAACTGTTGCAACGCCTTCAGAGTTTTATCGACCCCGACATGTCCCGATAAATTTGAATCGTGGACTTCTTGAATTAGTAATTCGCAAAGTAGACGATAACTTGGGACCCAAATTCGATCGTCCCGCTGCGTAAGTAATAGACGCCTTTCCGTGTAGTGATTGGGAGATGGCCGTCATTTACGAAGAAGGGGTCAGTCGAATACCCGTGGGTAAATAGTGCACTCAGTAGCGGGTTGCTCTGGGTGACTAGTACTGCTGCAAGTTGGGCAGACGGTCTGGAGAGGGCGTCAGCAATATTGTTGGTGCCCTTTTTGTATGTGATCTTGTACGTGAAGTTGGACTCCAGATAGTCCAGCCAGCATATCTGCCGCGGGTTGAGATTCGGCTGCGCTCTCAGGTACTGTAGAGATTTATGATCAGTTCGCACTGTCACGTCTGCTCCAGTCATGTACCGGGTAGTTGCGCTTCAGGCACTGTCAAGTAGCACCTTCAGATTTTGAACGCGTGTACAATCGCCAGCATCTCCTTGTCGTGTACCGGGTAGTTGCGCTCAGCAGATTGCATTTTCCGAGACTCGTACGCGATTGGTTGAAGACCATTGCCAAAATCTTGCATGAGCACGGCTCCGATGGCGATGTCACTTGCGTCGGTGATGAATTCGAAGGGCCGTTCCGGGTCAGCGATGCGAAGTACTGGTGGTGACATTAAAAGAGTTTTTAATGCCTCGAACGCAGCTTGCTGCTTCTCCCCCCAATCATAAAAAGTCCCCTTCTGCAGTAGGTCGGTTAGAGGTCCAATTAACCCTGCCATATTGGGTATAAACCACCGCACGTAAATCACAATACCCCGAAATGATTGCAGCTGCTGCTGATTTGTTGGCGGTTTCCAAACCTGAATAGCCCGGAGTTTTTTCGGGTCTATTTGAATCCCCTTCGTGGAGATCACGTGCCCCAGGAACTCCAGTTCTTGTTTTAAAAACTCGCACTTGGAGCCCTTGGTGATGAGACGATGCTGCTGCAGCCGCTGAAAAACCGCTTCCAAGTCCTTTAAATGTTGCTCCCGGGTCTTGCTGTAAAACAGGGTGTCGTCCAGGTAAATTATCACACATTTGTCGAGTAGATCACGTAACACCCTGTTCATTGTGAGCTGGAACGTTGAGGGGGCGTTCGTTAATCCAAACGGCATCACCGTGTATTCGTAACTCCCGTAGCGAGTACGAAACGCGGTCTTGTGGCAGTCGTCAGCGAACACCCGAATTTGATGGTAACCGCCACGAAGGTCGATCTTCGAAAAGTAGCGAGCTCCGCGAAGGTTGTCGATCAGTTCGTCCGTTCGTGGGATTGGGTAGCGCGATTTTATTGTTACCCGATTAAGGGCATGATAGTCCGTACACATGCAAAGTCCGCCGTCCTTCTTTTGGGGTGAACAGGATCGGCGCTGCGAACGGGGGCGTGCTCGGCCGAATAAACCCTTATGCCAGCAGATAGTCAAGCTGGTTCCGTAATTCGTGTAGCTCTGACTTAGTTAGGTGCCATTGATTTTGTACAGTAGGCTGCACGTCGGGCTCCAGCTCGATTTTGTGGTCCTGGGGTCCTTTGGGTGGCAGTCCACCTGGCAAGTCGTCCAGGAAAATCTCGGGATATTCCCGAATGAGTTTTGCCAAGTCATCCGGGACCGAAGCGCAGAGTTTGTTGATGTCGGTCGCCTCGTTCTACTCCGTTGATTTGGTTAGATGGACGGCGTATAATTCCACTCCATTCTTGACCGCTCGCTTGAGGCACACATCGTTGACTCGTGTCGAGGTTGTCTCTGCTTCCGGCCACGTGGGTAATTTTCGCCAGCCTTTTTCGCACTTCACTGTGCACTCGCCTGTCGTCCAATCGATCTGCGGATTGAATCTTAGCAGCCAATCGCGTCCCAGCAGCACATCGTAGCCATCAAGTGTTGTCGCCAGCATCGGCACGCTGAAGCCAAAATCTTCACCACACTTCATTCGAACGACGGGTGATCGCCAGCGGGGTGCCATCCACCAGTCGCGCATTGATTTCGGACAAGACACCGCTCCAACAATAAGTGTAGTCTTCGTGCTGTCTCTCGATTTATCAGGCTGTGACTCGCACCTCCGTCGATGAATATTTGTATTTTTCTTCCTTTGAGTTGTCGCTCCGCCAGCACTGGGTGGTCCATTGCGTCATCCCCCTTATTCAGCCGGGAGCGGTTGATAGCGTGTATCGGAACTACCACCCGGTGGGGATGGTGTTTTTCGGGTCAGTAGGGGGGCTGACCGCTACTTACGCTTGGCATTTCCCGACCTGCCTTCGTCGTTCTTCTTTATCTGCTTCTTTCGGGGGCAATTGTGAGATTGGTGACCCGGCTGGTGGCAGTTGAAACATTGTCCCTTGAAAAAATCTTCCTTGTGCTCCTTAGCCACTACACCGTGAATCTTGGGCCGTGGATCCTGGCCACGAAAACGATTTCCCACCCGGGAACCCGCTCTCGCATACGTCCGATGCGCGTCGAAAGTGTCTGCGATCCGGACTGCTTCAAGAAACGTCGCCGGTAGTCGCAGTCGGACATCGCATTTAATGTCCTCCTTCAGGCCCGAAATGAATCGAGCTTTCTTCTTGGAATCATGCATGTCGGTGATTTGATCGCATAACGCCATGAAGACCGACGCGTAATCTTGGACAGAACTCCACTGGCGCCAGTTGTCCAGCTTCGTGCGTGCGTTGTCCGAGGCGGATATGGGCTCGAACCGTTCACGCAAAGCTGTATCCCACGCCTTCCACGTGCGAATCTTGGTCGATCCGAAAATCGCGGTTGACCCTTGGGCACCAGACCCAAAGTTTCCAAAAAACCCCTGTGTGTCGCCTGCCAAAAACTCCCCCTCCTGTAGTGTATATCGCCACCAACCTAGAGCAGGTCCCCGCAGTAGTGATACAGCCAGCCGATTTTTTAAATCGTCTGCAGTGATCCCAGCTGCATTAAAATAAAGTTCCGCCGAAAATAACCAGCCCGTAACAGTAGTATTCTTATCTGTGGGGTTGAACGGGGGCGGCATTGTCGGTTTGATCGTTGATGTCATCACTATCGGCACGAATGCGGTGCGGCTACAGTAGCGGCTGCTTCTGACCGGGCAGCTGCTGCTGTTGCTCCTGCTGCTGCTTCGGCTGCTGCTCGTGCTGCCACATCAGCTACTGCGGCGGCTTCGCTGTCCTTATGCTCCTGAGACACCTCACATGCGATTTCGTCCAAAACAGTTTCGACACGTCTGGTGCTGGCGACCTCCTCTTGGGTGGCAGTTTTCTGCGCGAATCCTCTCACGCCTGGCGTAACTCGGCAAATTCTGCACGAAGTCGGTCGTTGTCCTCTAGCAGTATAGCCATGTGTGTGTTCATGGCGTTGAACTGCTCCCGAAGCTCGTTGAACTGAGCTTGGTCCATTTGGCGAATGCTCCGCCGGGGCAGGGGGAAATCCGTAGTGCGCTTGTACTCAGGTAAGCGCAAACGCTATCGTAGTTGGGCGAATTAATCAGTCTAATTCGCGAGCAACCGTTTTGCAGCTTACGTGAGGGACTTACCCCCCCCCCCCCCCCCCCCCCCCAAAAAAGAACAACTCACAAAAATAAGTGAGCGAGGAAAGTGGCTCTGAATACTTGGTGTTATGAATGAACAAGCAGAGTAGCGCGGAAATGAATAACGAAGTGTTCAATCACTCAATGACGATACAAGGAATGGCAAGCCAAGATATAGGAACACCAGAGCTAGTCTAACCATGAGATGGGAAGGTTCAGGAAAGAGATCAAAGGGTCTCGAAGTGACGAAGCGAGGCCCGGAGAACTCTCGAAGGTCGAACTAGAAGGTCTGGAGAAGCCGAGGCGGTTCTGGCAGAAAGGTCCACACCTGTCCCGAGGCTTCGGGTGTGTTCGAGCGTACGCGATAGCAGTAGCGCTCGGTAAGGAATGGAAAATTCCTTACAGGTAACGTGCTGTTACAAATGTACAAGGAAATTTGCATCTGGTGGTGTAAGGAAAATCTTCTCATTGCTGGGTTGTCGTAATGAAGTGCAATGGGCATGTGTTGAATAGTTGAGTAGTGAGGAAAACTGTCAAATTATGCATGTGCATTACATGTAGATTTTATAGGCTAGACAGGGTTGTGTTCTAAGAGGGTACAATACCAACCCTATATCACTCCTGTCAGGGCTGATTTTATCAAACTATTTAGTCTGATTAGTCTGAAATTTCGTACCCCTTTTTTTGGCCAAACCTGAATTTCCAGATAACCCATTTTCCCAATCCTGATCACTTCAGAGTACGATTCTAGGGATCCTAAGAAAATCATACTTGTCGCTAACCCAGTACTGGGTTTTCATAGCACAGTGCGTACAGACCCTGAAACAGATATACCGTAGTACCAACCTCCGAAATTTTTGGCCAAGTCCCCGAACGCTAGAGATAACCCCCACACACCCCACAACCCATCTAAAATTTCGGCGAAGTCCCGGAACGCTAGAGACAACCCCCACAGACCCCACAACCCATTGAAAATGTTGACAAGTCCTGTTGTCAGACACAGTCCCCCCCAACACCCGGAACACCCCAAAAGTTTTGGCTTGGCTAATTTACGGACATCCTCCCTCTTACACAGGCCCCAAGATTGGTTTTAGGGTAACTTAATCCTAATTGCTTAGTGTCATGTATTGAAAGGAGCTAAGAAGCTAACTAGGCATGAGAATGGCGAGAGGTTTTAGCGAGGGAGAAAAGTGACGAGAGAAAAGAGGCTTAACTAGACAAGAGCGAGAGGTACAAGAAGGGTGTTGTACACTCTACAGTAGGATCCAGTATTGTGGCACACCTAACCTACCAAGCCTACACAACTATATATAAATAATATATATAACTTGACACACCCCCTAGGCTTGGTAGGCGCTAGCACACCACACACGCTACACCCCCAAGCCCTTGCACCCCCATGTCCTGCAGCAGCTACGGCTTAGACCCCTCGTACGTGCGAAACGGCGACATCGGCGGCGGGTGGCAGCAACGGCGTCAGCTGCGGCTACGACGACGACAGCGGCGGCGGCGGCGGCGGCGGAGCCAGTTGCACCTGCAGGGGCGGCGGCGGCTTCGACGACGGCGGCGGTGACTGTGAAGCGCGCAACACCCGGCGGCGTGGCACGGCCCGGCGACGACGGGGAAGGGAGCCATCAGCTGCGGCTGGTATGAGGGGAGACGCAGGGGAGGGGTCGTGTCTTCAGCGAGGCGCTGTGGCTGGCGCAGCACGTGCTGGCTGGCACCTAAACCAGCGCGCTGGCTGCATCCGTCCGTGCGCTGGCGCATCGAAGCCGCCGCGGCAGCACGACAATGCCACGGCAGCACGACGAGGTCGCTGCGGCAGCGCAGCGAGGCCGCCACAGCTGCTCAACGAGGTTGCCGCGGCAGCTCGGCGAGCCGCCATGGCTGGGCGTCGAGGTCGCCGCGGCAGCACGGCGAGGCCGCCACGGCTGCTTGACGAGGTCGCCGCGGCAGCGAGGCGAGGCCGCCACGGCAGCTCATGGAGGCCGTCACGGTGGCGCAAAAGTGAACAGAGGGAAGAGAGTATGCGGCGGAAGCATTAATAGGAGGCTCAGCAGGAGCTTCCTGCTCTGAAACCATATTGAAATGAGCTAAGAAGATAGCTAGGCATGCGAATGGCGAGAGGTTTTCGCTAGGGAAAACATTGACGAGAGAAAAGAGGCTTGACTAGACACGAGAGAGAGGTACAAGAAGGGTATTGTACCCTCTACAGTAGGAATCAGTATTGTAAAACACCTACCAAGCCTATACATATATATATATAATATATAATTTGACTCACCCCCTAGGCTTGGTGGGCGCTAGCACACCACACACGTTACACCCCCAAGCCCTTGCACCCCCATGTCCTGCAGCGGCTGTGGCTTAGACCCCTCGTGCGATACGGCGACATCAGCAGTGGGTGGCAGCAACGGCGTCAACGACGACTACGACGACGACAACGGCAGCGGCTGTGGCGGCGGAGCCAGCTGCACCTGCGGTGGCGGCGGCCGCTTCGACGACGGCAAAGAACGACTGCGAAGCCCGCAGCACCTGGCGACGTGGCACGACCCGGCGACAACGGGGAAGGGAGCCATCAGCTGCGGCTGGGATGAGGGGAGACGCAGGAGAGGGGGCATGTCTTCAGCGAGGCGCCGTGGCTGGCGCGGCACGTGCTGGCATGCGGGCGTGCTGGCTGGCTCCTAAACCAGTGCGCTGGCCGCATCCGTCCGTGCACTGGCGCATCGAAGCCGCCACGGCAGCACGACGATGCACACGACGAGGCCACTTCGGCAGCGCGGTGAGGCCGCCATGGCTGAGCGTCGAAGTCGCCGCGGCAGTGCGGCAAGGCCGCCGCAGCTGCTCAACGAGGTCGCCGCGGCAGCGCGGCGAGGCCGCCGTGGCTGCTCGACGAGGTCGCCGCGGCAGTGCGGCGAGGCCGCCACGGCAGCTAATGGAGGCTGCCACGGCGGCGCGAAAGTGAACGGAGGGAAGAGAGTACGCGGCGGAAGCGTTAATAGGAGGCTCAGCAAGATCTTTCTGTTCTGAAACCATATTGAAAGGAGCTACGAAGCTAGGTAGGCATGCGAATGGCGAAAGGTTTTCGCTAGGGAGAAAAGTGACAAGAGAAAAGAGGCTTGACTAGACAAGAGAGAGAGGTACAAGAAGGGTGTTTTACCCTCTACAGTAAGAATCAGTATTGTAGCACACCTACCAAGCCTACACATATATATATATCTAAAATATATAATTTGACATCATGTGCCAAATATACATTGATTTATCAGTGTTGCCTAGCCAAAGTTCGCTTTTCCATCAGCGACGTGTATGGAAGAAACACTGATTTGGCAAAAAAAAAAAAAAAAAAGAGAAAGACTTTCACATTTTTTTAGCTTCACTCGAATGAGAGAAAATTCTGCATTCTAAACATAGAGAAATTCTTGTCAGTTGCCCGTTTGGTCAATTGAAATACTAACAAAATGTAACGATCACGATCGATTGCGACCGTTTCGACATATTTCAATCGTTCGATGGTCGCTAATGATTAACGTCCAAGATCTCCCAAACGAGGCACTGCAAGGGCGCGAAATTTCTCCCACCGCCCTATTCCCCAACTTCCCCCCTCCCCTCCGTTTCGTCCCCCCCCCCCCCCCCCCCTTCCATTTTCGATTCCCCCCTCCCCCTCCATTTCGCTTCCCCCCTCCCATCCATTTCGATCCCCCCCCCTCCCCCCCCCTTTCCCCTCCGTTTCGCTTTCCCCCTACCCTCCGTTTCGATCCGCCCCCCCTTCCCCTCCTTTTCGCTTCCCCCCTCCCCTCCGTTTTGATTCCCTCCCCATTTCCCCATAACTTGCGATTCGCCCTTCCCTCTGTTTCGATTTCCGTGGGCATTGCGATTTCCCCCCCTCGGTTTTTAGGAATGGTTTCCCCACTACCCACTTTTAACAACTATGCAAAAGTAGGGTATGAGCAGGGTTGCTGGTTGGGGGGATTTGTGGGAAGTTTTTTAATGGCTGCAAGGGACTTAGCCGATTTTTTGGGGTTGCGGGGGGTGTGGGAGGTGTGTTTCTCGAAGTGTTGAGATTTTTCTCGTATGTGACTCTGGTTGTACGTGCTGGACCCTGAGAAAATCAGACTCGCTGAGTTCGGGACCCTGACGTTTCAGACTACCGCAATTCTGGCTGAAGGCCCTTCAGACTAATTTTTTTTGGGGGGGGGTTGGCTCAGAGTGCCTTTTTTTGAAACGCCAGGCCTGACTCCTGTACTGCCTTGCTTCTAGTCACTTTGCTATTCTAACATGGTATCACGCTAGGTAGGTCCCACCTACCCGCGCTTCCGCCCTATCCTAGCGTGGAGTGTCGCCCCTAGCCCTAGCCTGCCGCGTCGCGTCGACCCTCAGCTCGTCGTACCGTGCCGGCCCCTAGTTGCCGCGCTAGCCCCTAGCTGCCACGCTAACCCTGCAAGCCGCGCGGCCCTGTCTCGCTGTGTGGCCCTAGCTCACCACGACGGCCCCAGCTAGCCACGCGCCCCCCGCTCGCCACCGGCCCCAGCTCGCCGCGGCCCCCGCTCGCCGCTGGACTCAGCTCGCCGCGCGGCCCCAGTCCGCCGCAGCTCCCAGCTCGCCACAGCCCCCCCTCGCCGCCAGCCCTATCTCACCGTGCGGCCTCAGCTAGCCGCGGCTCCTAGCTCACTGCGGCCCCCGCTAGCCGCCGGCCCCAGCTCCCCGCGGAACCCCCTTGCCGCCAGCCCCAGCTCGCCGCGCGGCCCCAGCTCATCGCGGCCCCCGCTCGCCGCCGGCCCCAGCTCGCCGCTGGTCCCTCAGCTCGCCGCCGGTCGCAGCTCGCCAATTCTCCCAGCTCACCACGGCCTGCGCTCGCCGCCGGCCCCAGCTCGCCGTGCAGCCCTCAGCTCGCCACCGGCCCCAACTTGCCACGCGGCCATTAGCCGCGCCGACGTCCGTTCGTCGCGCCGCCCCAGCTCATCGCATCGGCCTCTGCTTGCCGCCGGCCCCCTTATATGCCACCTGCCCTGATTCCTCCTCCAGGCCGACGCCCCTGCCAGCTTTCTCCTTCATCGTACTCCACCGCACTCCACCGCCCTCCCCCACACTCCACCGCACTCCACTGCCCTCCACCGCACTCCACTGCACCCCATCGCTCTCCACCACACTCCACCGCACCCGCCAGCTTCCTGCTCCTCCTCCTCCTACGTTCTTCAGTTGCCGCAACTGTGCGTGATGGTGAACGCTGTTCTCCGCCTGGACGCGGAGGGTTGGGCTGTTGACTTTGAGGCGTGGCTCGCCGCTGCGCCGCCAGCTGAAGGGTCAGCGCCAGGACATCCAGTCCCTGGCCGTCCATGTCGACGGTAAGCTTCCCTGCCCTGACCCGCCTGCTGCCCTCCGTGACGCCCCCACGCCTGTTTAGCGTGAGGCTTTTATAGCTATTGAGCTCGCCCACTCTGTCTGGGAGTCACGTGATGCTATTGCGCAGCTTGCTATCCGTCACGCCCTCCCCCTGTCTGAGCGTCCCCGCTTTCAGGCCGTAGAGACTACGAAGGAGTACCTAGATGCTGTTATTTCGCGCTATTCCACTCTCCTCCGCCTTTGCTGGCCGTTTCCTCCTACCCTTGCTTTCCCCTGATCTTGCGTCCTTCCCCACTGTCGTTGACCTTGCCACTCACCTGCGCGCTCTTGAGACTAGCTACCACGCTGATAGCACTGAGGCTTAGTTCACTGTAGTGCCTCCCCCCTCGACGCTAACCTTTACTTCTTTGCCACGCGCCTCCTCGACCACCTAGCCACTGCCCCCGATGCCTTCCTTAGTCTCCACCCCGCTGACCTCAACCTTACTGACTTTGTTACCACCCTGTCCGCAATAGAGACCCGCCAGTGCACTTTCGCCCAGACTAGCAATACTACGGAGATCCCTATCTTTCAGGGCTGTGCTCCCTCCCAGTGCACTTACTCTGACGTTTCTACCGATGTCGCTGAGACATCCCCTGTCGCTGAGATGACTGCAGCGGCCTCAGCCCAGCCTCGTCAGGGTAAGGGCCGCCGCTCCAAAGGGGGGCGCGGTCGAGGGAGGGGTGGCGGGGGTGGCGGAGGTGGTGGAGGTGGCGGAGGTGGTGGGGGTAGTGCGAGTGCAGGTGGTGCAGACGACGGGTTTGGGGCTGATGCCCCGTCGCATCAGCAGGAGCAGCAGCAGCCCCAACAGCAGCAGCAGCAGCCCCAACATCAGCAACAGCAGCTCCAGCATCAGCAACAGCAGCAGCAGCAGTAACAGCCGTAGGTACCCCCACCACCGTTGTGGCCCGGCGGCTTTGGTGGTGGTGGCCGCAGTGGCGGCCCTCGCAACTCGACGTCAGGTGGCAGCTCCAGCTCTGTGAGTTGCGAGTACCAACTCCAGACTGGTACGTCGCCGTGTGCCTATTTCTGAGATGGAAATGGATCAGATTAGCTTTGCTTTGTGTGCCATGTACTGTATCTTGATAACTCTAGTGTGACTGGACCTTATTATCTTGTCTTGCTTAGTGTAGGTGTGTCCGCTGTGTGTAGTGTAGGCTCCCCTGCTGCGTCAAGCGTAGAACCTCCTGACTTCTTTTGACTTGGCTTTAGACTACTTCCTCACCGGCTGACGCTACCGCTGGACTCTGGTGCGTCCGCCTTTTTCTTTTGCGACCGCACCGCTCTCACGCCGCTGACCGCCCCCAGAGCTGTTGGCCTTGCTGACCCTTCCTCAAGTCCGGTAGTTGCACGTAGTTCCACAACCCTTCCCTATCTGGCAGTTCCCTTGGGCTCCCTTACGGGCCTGCACATCCCCTCATTCTCCAAGAACCTCATTGGTGTCGGCTGTCTTCAGGACCTCGGCGTCACCAAACGTTTCCTGGGCACAAGCGTTATGCGGTCTAACCGAGGCTGCGGCTGGTGCCCCCCTCACCACGTTTCCCCTGGACCCGGTGCTTGGCCTGTTCACGCTGGACAATGCGTCCCCCCCAATGGGGGCGTCCCCCAGGTGGTTGCGTCTTGCTCATGTCGGTCGCTCACTCACACGTCTAGGAGGTGATGGTCATGGAGGTGGCTCGTACCTTCATGATCCATGCCGGTGAACCCCATTTTCTATGGCCGTTCGCAGTGTGCTACGCCGCTCACCAGCTTAACCTGTGGCCTCACTCCCAGCTGCCGCAGGTTTTGTCGACCCCTTTCTGGACCGGGTCCCCTAGTGACGCGTCTGCGTCTCATGTCTGGGGTTGCCTTGCTTACATCCACGACTCTTGCGCGGATAAGCTTACTGGTTGCACCGTCCCTTGTGTCTTTCTTGGATTCCCCCTAGACGCGTCTGACTGGCACTTCTACCACCCACCGTCTCACCGGTTCTTTCCCTCGCATAACGTCACTTTTGACGAGTCTGTCCCCTTCTACACCCGCTTTCCCACCAAAGTCTCCCGGTTACCCCACCCCTGTTTCTTGTCCCCACTCCCCCGGTAGCTCTCGCTCCCCAACCTGTCCCATCTGGTGTGTATCACGTCACTCCCTTTCCCTCGGTTGGCCCAACGGAGGAGGCTGCTGACTCTGGGGGCCCTGAGGCTCAGGGTTTGCTGCCTGTTTCTACAACGTCTGCACCCTCAGCCTCGGTGTCTCCTCCGCCGCCGTCGCAGCAGCAGCAACAGACGCCGTCGTTGCCGCAGCAGCAATAGGGGTCCGCGAGCTCAGGGGGTGCTAGCGCTGGGAGTACGGGTGTTGAGGAGGGTGCTGGTTCTAGGGGTGCTCTTCCTGGAGGTGCTCGTCTTGGGGGTGCTGTCGTGGTGAGTCCTGGGGGTAGCCATGGTGTTGCTGGAGGTTCTAATGTTGGCGCAGAGCAGCATCAATGACAGGAGTTGCCTCCGGTGTCCGCCCTTCGCCTCCTTAGTCTTCCCTCCCCCGACCGCCTGCCCGCGCCTCCCCCGACGCCGCCTCTTCTGCTGGTCTACGGCCCAGTGTTTCCTCCACTGGACTCGTCCCCAGCGCGGTTCCCTCCTCGTTCTCCTCCTGTGTCTCCGCCTTTGTCTCCTGAACCAACACCTCCCTCCTGTTGGTGGTCTAACCATGTCCCTCATGCTCGTCCTGGCTCTCCTGTTCTGCGCTCCCACCCCATGTTGCTCTAGTCTTACGCATCTCGTGCTCCTCCCTCTCCTGTTCTCCCATCGCCTCCTCAGTCATCCCTCTCTGTCTCCTCGCCTCCTCTATCTGACTTCCTCCGTGCTGCTTGCCCTCTTATTTCTGGTATCCTCACCTTTCTTGTTACGGACCCGTCCGTTCCTGTCTCCAGTCTTGATGCTCTAATCGCTGTCATTCTCTGACATTGCCTTTACCCGTCACCGCTCTGGTCTATGACTCCGCCCGTCCTTTGTCCGTCGGGGGTGCTGCTGCCCTTGGCAGTGACGTTCTCGAGGATAGGCAGTATGAGCTAGCTTTCATGTCTAAGGCTACTCCTCATCTCTCCTCCATGCTGCTAGCCCCTGAGGGTGACCTAGACGCTCTTGACATCCCGACCCCTTGCACCTACGCTGAGGCGCCTTCGGGATCCTGGGCCTCTTAGTGGATAGCTGCCATGGGCATAGAGATGGCATCTTGGAGATCCACCGGCACCTCCGTCGGCGCAGTTCCCCCACCTTGGGCGAACGTAGTCGATGGCCGGTGGTTCTTCAAGGTGAAGCGCCCTCCTGGAGAGCCACCGGTATTCAAGGCACGCTACATTGCTAGAGGCCTCAGTCAGTGCGAGGGTGTTGACTTCTTTCAGACCTTCGTTCTGACCCCAAAGATGACCACTCTTCGGGCGCTGCTTCACATAGCAGCACAGCGCGACTACGAGCTGCACTCATTAGACTTCTCCACAGCGTTTCTCCAGGGCAGTCTGCACGAGCAGATCTACCTGCGTCGTCTGCCAGACTTCTGAGGCACTTTCCCTCCTGGGACCGAGTGGCTCCTCCGTAGCCTGATTCACGGTCTGCGGCAGGCGCCCCGGGAGTGGACGGATACGCTGTGTGCTACGTTAGCAGCCTTGCAGTTCTTCCCGTCCTCTACTGAACCTTCGCTCTTCGTTCGCTCAGGCCAGACTTCGTTCTACATCCTAGTCTATGTAGACGATCTGGTCTTTGCTACTGCAGACAAAGACACACTGGCCTCGGTGAAGGCTGAGCTGCTGAGGAAACACACCTGCACGGACCTAGGAGAGCTACGCTGCTACCTGGCCTGCAGATCTCGAGGGATACAGTAGCGCGCACCATCACTCTCACACAGTCACACTTGGTGCGCCAGGTCCTTCATAGGTTCGGCCTTCAGTTCTCCTCCGCACAGCCCACCCCTCTGCTAGTGGATCATATGCTCTCGGCTCCAGTCCTTGACAAGCCTGTTGAGCCTTGTGGTCAGTACGCAGAACCTGTGGGCTGCGGCATGTACCTGATGACTTGCACTCGTCCACATCTCGCATACCCTCTTAGTATCCTAGCTTGCTTTGTGGCGAATAGTCAAACACCGACCCCTGCACTATTCAGCCGCAAAGAGGGTGTTGCATTATCTAACATGTACATCGGGCATGGGGCTAGTATTGGAAGGACGCAGTGGTTCTCACAGGGCACATAGACCCTTCGTGGGCGGACAACGTTGAGATGCTCAGATCCTCCCAGGGCTACTGCTTTAGCCTTGGTGCAGGCGCTATCTCGTGGAGGTCCACCCACTCGTTGTCTGTTGCACATTCCAGATGTGAGGCTGCAATCTACGCTGGTGCCATGGCGGAACAGGAGCTCCGCTGGTTGACGTTTCTGCCCTCAAACTTAGGTGAGCAGCCTAGCTCTGTCCCGGTCTTATGATCCTCCTATGTCTGGAGCCTCGACTAGAGGGCAGAGCGAAGCACATCCAGCTGTGGTACTTCCTCCAGCGCGAGCTATAGCAGCACCGCCAGGCCCACGTAGTACACTTGGCCTCTGGTGCCAACACAACTGATATCTTTACGAAGGCGCTTGCGCCTAAAGATCATCAGCTTCACTATGTACAGCTTGGTCTGGGGCCCCTCACTTGCTAGGACCCTGAGTGTGTACTACTCCTTCTATTATCTTGACTGGCCTTGTGGCACTTGTTCCAGTGGCTGGACTAGTAGTGCCGCGTTGGGCTACTCTTATTTTGTTTGTACTCTTGTTAACTGGTCTTTAAACAAGAGAGAGGAAGAAGATGGAACCGTGGAGGGAGAGAGAGAGAATACGAAAATGGGGGAGAGAGAGAATACGAAAACGGGGGAGAGAGAGAATACGAAAATGGGGGGGAGAGAGAGTACGAAAATGGGGGAGAGAGAGAATATGAAATCGGGGGGGAGAGAATACGAAATGGCAGAGAGAGAGAGAGAGAATACAGAACGGGGGGGGGAGAGAATTCAGAACGAGGGAGAGAGAATACGGAACGTGGGAGAGAATACAAAACAGGGGAGATAGAGAAGACAGAACAGTGTGGGAGAGACTTGTGCCTAGTTATGGTGGTGGCTTGTACCATATCGTGCCGTATGAAAATGAGTGGAAAGGGCATTGTCGAGTGTGTGGGCTGTAATGTGACTGGTCTGCTTTGCTGAAATGTTACAACTGCACTAGCTGCATCCATTCACAATTGCACTAGCTGCATCCTATGTTGCCCAGGAGAATCCGAGAAGGGAAGAGTGGCTCTGAGGGAATATGTGTGACTGCGTAAAACTGAGGGTGGAGGAATCGTGTCACCTCCATGTCTCTATTTTAGAGAAATTCCATTTCCTTACACCCTCCCCCCTCCGAGATATGGTCTAAGCTAAGACTGCCGACGTCGTGCACGTTGCGTGACTGGAGGTAGACTCGTAATACCGGGTAATTCTCGATCTGTGCTAGAGGCACCCAATTGTTGTCCAAGGACGTCTGGTCCTTCCACAATACCAGGAACTCGATCAGGCAAGCCCCTTGAGGGCACAGGCAGTCCAGTGATGAAACCCATCAGCACCTACTGTCACGCACGCTAAGGCGACAAAATCGGCTGCAATTGTCCAGCTGACTTCTGCTTCGACGACTTTATGGGTTGGCAGGTTCTGCACGAAGCCACATGCCGCTGCATGTCCCCTTGCATGTTGGACCAGAAATAATATCTGGTCAATTGTTGTCGTGTTTTCTCCATTACGAAATGCCCTGAGACTGTACTATCGTGGGCTTCCTATGGTAGTAACTCCCGTATTAGACTGTACTTTTGTACCCACATGCGGCCAGTCCCTATCTTTACATAATATACTCTCTTAGTAGTTGCGAGCTGTTCATATGCAC